GGAAAATTTTAGGACAAACGAGGCCTAAACTTTAACCATGCACAAGTGAATTCGCAAACATAACTTTGATTTAATAGAACTTGGAATGCCAAGAGGACATATTTATATAGGTTAACATATATATATATATATATATATATATATATATATATATATATATATATATATATATATATATATAATACTTTGGAAAACCATGTTAGGATGAACCTTTGAAGTCAATACAAGTTAAAAAAACATTAAGGAGTCAAAGGAGTCAAAACAAGTCAAAATGATAAGTCTAAAAGAATGAAATTGTAAAGTACTTTAGGATTTCGGTTTTGAGAATCTAGGAAACACTTTTGGACTGAAAACACTTCCTTTATGGATGCTAGAACTGAAATCACTTCCTTTAAAGCACACCATGACCGAAAACACTAATCTAAGGCCCATTAAGGCCGAAAACTCTTTCTTGGATGGAGCCATGACCGAAATCAACATCTTATGTGAGTATGTATGGGGTTTCCGGCCATACAGGACCGCAATCACCCCCCACTTTGGCCGAAATCACCCAAAAGGTGGCCAAGTGGTGCCACATGATTGATTAAGTTAGCTTCCCTAGGTGATAAAATACACTTACCAACGTAAGTGTCACTTCTCTTACACTATTATCTCTTATCTCCCATATATAAAGCCACAAATAGGAATCCTTCACCATTTCTCATTCATGGTAACATTTCCTCACAAATCCTCTCAACTCTTCAAATCCTTCCAAGATCATCAATATCCCCTGGAACAATTTTCTTCAAGCAATATATTAGAAGAACATTGTAAGTTCTTATTTAACCTAGTGTTTATGAAAACATTTTAGTTTAGTTCATATATTCACACATTATTATATGTTACAAACTATTAGGATCTCGACTACATTTAAGTGTTCTAACTTAAATATCGTCACCGTCGTCTCATTATCAAACCGCAAATAACCATAAGGTGAGTTCATACCCCTACATTTTTCAAGATTTTTCTACATTTTGGGGGGTGGGGGGGGGGACACAAGTAACAAACACAAATATTTACGTTAAAACGCAAACATTTATATACGTTGTTTTACTATTTTTACTATCACACCCCCAAACCAGAGCAGCGGAAACGTCCGGGGGTGGATGACTTCATGTTAAGTATAACAACACATGCATCATAGTAATCAAAGTACAACAACCATTGAATTAATAATGTATAAGTTTTATATAAGTGTTCAAACATTGTATATTGACACCAAAAGTTATATAACAAAAGATAGAAGACATGACTCTATACTGCTCTGTCTTCTCAAAAACTCTAGGGATGTACCTGTCTACTGTTCCCTGAGAATACAAGTATTTTGAAAAACAGAGTATCAACATTTAAGTTGAGTGAGTGCATAAGTATTTATGTTTAATAGCTTGTTTTTCGTTTCTTGAATATGATTACTATTTCCAGAAAATCCAATATTGTCTATTATAACCGAAAAGTAGTTTTAATACCATAAAACTGTTATGTGTAATCATTATTGTACTTATAAAATAATGTAACATAGTTTTAGTTCACATTAAGACTATAAAAAGAATGCTTCCTATATTATTTAGGTTTTCCCAAGTTCTGTAATTGTACTCTTTGATAACCTTGTAAGAGCGAATGCCTGGCTCCACCAGCTGTAATTTGTAAGTTATAATGTAATACTACAAATCGTGTTATTGTAAAACCGGTACTTTGTATTCGTACCCTTTGGTTTAATTATATACTAATCGTATTTGTTCATATCTTTTTGGTGAGTTATTATAACCATACTATGACTAGATGGCCTGGAACGACGCTTTGTAGGCGTCGAAATTGTTGATAACAATTGTCACCCATAGGCATGCTTGCCCGACTGTAGCTAACAGTCTGAGTGCGGGATTGTCAATCCCGTATAGATCTATACACATTTGACTGGAGATTCTGGTTATAATATCAAGACTTTAACTATATTTCTTAAATGAATAAGCACTTTGAACATTGTCTCAAAAAAACATATTGACCATTACATATATAAAAATGATTAAAAGTCATTTTGAAGTAAATGAACTGACATTGTGTTCCTTAATTAGTATATTTGAATGTAAAGTATTTATACGAGAGTATACTATTAAACTTTGTGTAACTGATTGTTGAACATAGTATAAAAGTTTCATAAATTATACCTATTATAATTTATATGTGTGTTTTGTTTGACATGCATTATTCATGAAAGTATCCCCTTTGGTTAACATGTTACAAAAGGAATATGAATATGATTAAAATAACTATTATATTCACACACACACACACACACACACACACACATATATATATATATATATATATATATATATATATATATATATATATATATATATATATATATATATATATATATATATATATATAATTAAAATTTAAACGAAATTCGGACAAAACTACTCATTACTCATTTATTTGTTATGTATCCTTTATGTGTAAATAGTTTTATGTTTAGCGGTTATATTGTTATTTTGAATGATATGTTTCTTGTAGAATTGTTGCAGGAGGACTATTGTTGACAAAGTCAAGATACATTTGGATGTGGCTCACATTGTTAGAAGTTATAAGACAAAAACACACAGATCTTACCCGTTTTGGTATATGGGTGGGTTTGACCCAGGTTTTATCCGACTTGAGCACCCAGTATATAAATGTTGTGTGTGTGTATTGAGAAGTTAATACAATCATTTTTTTACACACACAAATATTCTCTCTTATTCTTTGTAGATGTTAGGGTTTGTTCAATCGATTAGGTTTTGTTCATACATCTTCTTATTCATGTTATTCACATTTATATTAGATGTGTGTAGTGTATGTGAAGGGTGTAGTCAGGATCTTTGTATTAAGTGTTTGAGTTTTGTAGCTAGGTTGTTTTATCAGTAAATTTAAAACCAACTAGTTCTTAATGAGAATAAGAGATGTTGATGTCTTGTAGCTTCGTGTCCTTTATAAGTTGTGTTTTCTTTAGTGACTTCATCCACGTAGATACATGTTTTTCTCGATGAGAACGCCTAAGAAGTAGAGTTGGCGTTTTGTATTCTTCTCAGTGAAACACTTTTATATGTGACGAGTCATTATATACGGACATCCATGGTCCCGTAAGTCATTTTCCGATGCAGACCAACATCATTTAATTATAAACAATGCAATTAAGGGTATACCATAAAGTTCAATAAAAATATACATGGAGTGAAATAATTAATAATATACCTCCACCCTATGTGAGGTGCTAGCATCATCCTCGGCACACTTATTATTACGTTGTAGAAGCATAGATACCGTAGCTTCAAGTTGTGCATTACACATCTTTGTGTCATTAACTGGTTGTGAAATTTATAAACCTCCTTTTGCAACTTAATAATAATTTGGTCCTTATCAATTGTTGGTACATTGTTTGGTGGTGGGCTAGATGCATATGAACCTTTGGCATGGTTGTACCTTCTTTTGTGGAGGCTCATAGGTAGGCAATTTGCAAGGTGATGGTGTTAGAGAATGTTCCCTGTGAACGGGTCTGGTAGCTAAAGCAAGACGTTCAATCCACGCGGAGCTAAAAGATTACTAGTCAACACGACTCTCATCATTTGTCGACTCCAACTTCTCTATAAGTCGATTATCCTTCTAACAAAATTGTAAAATTATAAATAATCATCAATTATACATGTAGGTGAAATTTATAATTTATATAACTAATCATGCATCGTCAACAATTAGAAACTTCTTGTATTGACGGCTGTAACTTTGTTAGTTTGATCATCCAACGGCCCGAGGGATCACATTCGGTTGTTGGGTACCAAACAAACTGCTCACAGGAAAACTCTCAAGAGTCCATATATGAAAGAATCATGTATTAAAATATTAACAAACATAAAACATTAAAGTGTTAATCATGTATTTTACCTTAAAAGCGTACAAAAATCCACTTAGGGTGTACGTTATTTTTTGAGGTTGTGTATTTTTTGGTAGCACCGGATGTATATGCTTGTCGACCTTATCGAATATAGTGTGTAGCTGAGAGTACAGTTGATTGCAAATTGTCATCCCCCATGGGTATTTGCGACATAAAAAATTCACAATTAATTTTATAAAAAGTATCAGTAATGATAATTATAAATTAACGACGTGATATCTGTTCAATTCATTAATGTTGGATACGAAAAAAATAGTCGTTTATCACAAGCTGATGAGGCAACTGGCCATTGAAACTCTTCTCTAGCTGATATATAAGAAATACACATACCACATCCTCCTCCGATATGTCATTAAGTGATCCTTCAAACACATCAATGAAATCTTTTAATTTCATGGTGTCATTCTTCTTAACCATATGAAATACACAGGTTCGAAAGGCAAGACCGGAATCGGAAGCACAAAATATTCACGAAACTGGAAGCTGGTGACACGACAAATTTTTTCCCCCTCTACCTCCCTATGAATATCTAACAACCTATCAAAACTAGTATTTCGGAACATTGTCTCGTGTGGTGGTTTGTTCCTGAGTCTCGCAAGAATATCCACAACTATTATGGGTTTGAAAGATAGTATAGTTGATGCATCAAAAATCCTGTCATGCTACATATAAAACCAAAAACATTAATTTTAAGGTAATTCAGATGTTATGATGGTGATCAAGAACGAAATGCGATGAACATTCCAGAATAGTTTTATGCATTCTGTATATGTTCTTCATGTTTTGGACTAGTTCTTCGCATGCACTCCTGACATTACTCGTTCTTCGTGTTCCGGATTATCTCATTTACACCACTAATCTTTAAATTAAACAAATAAAATGTGGGAGTGAAAGAACTTACCCATAGAACTACCAAATCTTAGGATGGTATGGCATATCTTTTTTGATTCTTTGGTCCCAAACATAAAGCGGCGGGAATATGTTTGTAGTTTGTTCTGTGTAATATGTCTCCAAAAAGATAACCTTTCGATCGATGCTGCTGAGTGTAATGATAAATGTTGTTGGTCAACTATCAATATTAGTGAGCGAGGAAGGGGTTTGCGTTGAGGGTTGGGGAGACTATGGAGGTGATGCTCCATATATATGAGTTGACGGACAACGTAGTTCGGATCAACACAGGTTTTTAAAGACATCATGGTCTCGGCGGCATCTTCTACTGTGTTGTTCAGGGTCTCAGTTTCTGGTGTAATGGTGGTTAAACTTCGTTTTCAATTCATTAATTTGTAATTGATACGTCATTTTACATTACCAAAGGGTATCTAAAATCAGCTGGAAAACAATTGATTGATGGAGGATCAAATGTAATGATAATCTTGGAACTAAGCGAGTATAATGTAGACTTATAAATTACTTGAAAATAAGATATGGAAGTATGAAATTGATGATGATACAAAGAAAGTGCGCATTACCATGTAGCAATCACTTGTGCAGAGATGGATGAAATACCAGAAATAAGGAGTGCGATGCTTGATCTTTCACAAAGCCTGAACCCCTCCCTGTGGCTGTAATTAATTCATGTTTTTGATGATTTTTATTTTTATGAAAATGAAAACCAGGTCAAAGAAAGAAAGTTACAGAGATTGAAAACGACAATTTTAATATTGAATTTTCTTTAATGATTGCTTGGCTGATATTCTTTTATCTTCTTATAGATCTTGAATTTTTGTCTAATTGTGGTGTTCACAGTACGTATGTGGGAACAGCCTGTGCATCGGTCAAAGTATGAAAATAAAGGGATTGAAAACGAAAAAAATCCAGGATTGAATTTTCTTTAACTAGTGTTTGGTTGATATTCTATATTATCTTCTTATAACTCATCAAAATGTGTCGCTCATAATTTGTGGGAATCAACATATACAAAAGCTGAGTATATATAATAAAGCATGATTCCAATATCTTGTCAGCTCTTTTTCTATTTCTTTTTCATTCCTTCTCTCTCATCTGGAGCTGATACTTTATCTGTGAATCAATCTCTCTCTGGAAACCAGACCCTTATCTCTCTTGCTGAAACTTTTGAATTGGGTTTCTTTAAACCAGGTCAGTCTCCCAACTATTACATAGGAATTTGGTTCAAGAAAGTCAAAACAACTCCTCAAACAGTAGTCTGGGTAGCAAATAGAGAGACACCCATCTCCGATACATTCTCTTCTAAATTACAAATTGTAAATGGTAACGTAGTGCTCTTAGATAAGTCAAACACCCAAATTTGGTCAACAAATATAACCCCTACACCCACAACTTCTGCATCAGTAGTTCTTCTTGATGATCGAAATTTAGTTTTGAGATATAATTCAAGTTCAAGTTCAATCACACCAATTTGGCAAAGTTTTGATCACCCAACCGATACTTTCTTGCCTGGTGGTAAGTTGGGATACAACAAGAGGACGAATATGAAGCAGATTATTACTTCATGGAAAAGTATAGAAGATCCTGCAAGTGGTCTTTTTTCTGTAGAGATCGACCAAACTGAGAATCAGTATCTACTTTTGTGGAATAGATCTCAGGTGTATCTGGCTAGTGGATCTTGGGATGGTAAAATATTTAGCTCCATGCCTGAAATGAGATCAAACAATGTCAATAACTTCAGCCACATTGACAATGAAAATGAGAGTTATTTTACATATTCTATGTATAATCCTTCATGTATTACTAGATTCATCATAGACGTCTCAGGGCAGTTTCAGCAACAAGCATATGTGGAACCTATAGCAAAATGGACTTTGTTTTGGTCTCAACCTAGAGAAATATGTAAGATCTATGCTTTATGTGGGGCTTTTGGTAGTTGCAGGCAGACTGAATTTCCATTAATCTGTAATTGTTTGACTGCTTTTGAGCCAAGATCAGAGAGTGATTGGAATCTGAGTGATTTCTCTGGTGGGTGTGTGAGAAAAACAGAGTTCAGTTGTAGTGTTAGAGAACAAAAACCTGGGTTTGTTGTAGGTTATGTCCCTCTCAATTATCTTCCCACATATCTTGAAAATGAAAGTCTGGAATTGGATGAACCAGCATGCAAAAGATCTTGCTCGGATGACTGCAGTTGTGATGCATATGGTGTTATCTCCAATAAATGTCTACTTTTGAATAGTGAGATCTTGAATAATATATCAAGTTTCTTTGTTTCAGAAGATTCTAATAGTCTGAAAATTCCATTCAACATCAAAGTTTCTTCGTCCGATCTTGCTAACATTACTGAAAAAATCAATACTAAAGTGCTAGTAGCAGGTAATCTTTACTTGTTTTAATTGTAATTTCCAGTTTTCTTGTCTTTTTACTACTGCAGAGTATATAGCATTAAAAAAATCTGTCTTTTTCATCCCAGGAATCGTTTCAGGATTTTTCGGTCTTGCATTGCTTTGCAGCATTGGCATTATTTACAGAAGGGTGAAGAGAAAAGGTAAATGATGTGCTTTTTCTTTTAACCCCATTTTTGTTTTTTCTACAATATAATAATCGTTCTATCTTGAAACGAATGTAATATGTTTTGTCTTCTTTATTTAATTTTTAGTTAATGTATGTGACTAACTCAGGAAGTAGAGACTTGAACCGTGATTATTTAGATATGCAGTTTCAAGACAATGGAAGAAATGTTAGAAATTTAGCAGATCCAGGGATACTGAGTGCAGAAGACAGGAAAGGCATTGATGTACCTTTCATTGATTTTAATACCATATTATCTGCCACAGAGAATTTTTCGCTTTCAAATAAACTTGCACAAGGGGGATTTGGGCCTGTGTACAAGGTAACAACTCTTGATTTTAGCTTATTAGCATACTATACTCATATCCTGTTGTCTCATAGATACACAAGTAAAGCAATCATATCTCAATTAATTCAATACTAGTTTCACATAAAATCATGAATAACACTAGAAACTTACTTGGAGGGAATCCAATTTGCATAGGAGGATTAGATGATGATGATGATTCAGTGATGTGTTTGCTGACTTTGGATTACATGTCAATAATCTTGATGCTGAGATCACACACGAGCAATTCTGTTGTTATGGAAAAGAAAAAACAAATCCTATGTCCTGTGTGTTTATTTCATCTCTTCATATATGGGCATCTAATAGGAAAGATAAAATAACATTCCTGATTTTATGTAAGTTTCTTCCATCAGGTAATATACTACATTAGTTGGAGAACCACTTATGTGATCATCACATGCTATATGGTATAAATGCTAAATATACCACTTACTAGAAAATATTGTATAGAAGTAGTCCTAAGGACACGTTAATGTGGGTATATTATAACATTCTACCACTTGAACAAGTGATTATATATTATAAGTTTGGTCAATTATGAACTTATTACTTGCACTCACAACATAGCAAAAAGATACAACTGTATGTGTCACTATTGACATGACGCCTTATCAATTCTACTAAGGCATTCATTAATGTATAAAGTATAAACATTACATTAAGCCACAATGAGCATTACAATATGGTAAATAACAGACATTTGACAATAGAATTAACATAAGTGCACGTAAGTCTTAATTATTAGACAAATTTGAAGGTTATGGGAAAATCATAATAGGTATAATAAAGCACCATGCTGGAAATTTGTATAAGTTTTTTGTTTTAAACCCCATCTTGATAACATCTTTTGGGAAACTTTGGGAGGAAGACATTTCGTCATTGACTCCACTAGCACATCGTGAGTGCCGATTTACTCAATAAAAATGTCATTTTCCTCCACGAATCAGTACCTCACTCTTCCTCTACGAATCAGTACTTTGTATCGAGATACAATTCTACCTCACTGGAACTATTGTTATTCCTCAATAGCATTCCATGGCATGTTGAATCATAAATGAAATAGCTTTTGATAATTGTATTGTGTATGTAATATCACGTAACATGTATAGGAGTCTCCAAATCAAGACAAGAATTCTAAATAATTACACTGATATGTGGGTCATTTAACTACACCTTAATCTAATTAAATTCAAGTATTACTCTCATGATGTTTGCTAATAAGTAATAAATACATGTTCTTCAAATAAATGAATCAATATTCAATCATTATTCGTATAAAGTTAAAAGGCTGTTGTTGTGGTGGACAATTAGTGAATTATACAAATCAATGAATCAACCATAATTAATACAAAATTACAATTTAAAAATACAAACCTGTTGAGTGTTGATCACTTGGCTACTTTCGCTGGAGTCTAACTTAATTACTAATACTAGGCTCTAATGCTCTATAATGTTGTGGCTGGAGTTTGGACGAATGGAGGGAGACGGCAGTCGGCACAAGGTAGCCGACATTCTGTTTCTTTGGCCAAAATTATTTACGAAATCCTTTTTTTTCAAAAATAATTAGATTGGGCTGTGGATTAATGAAAATGGGTTAAGATATTGGGCTGTTAAATATAAAATATATGGGCTCATGATAAATATTCTTTTGCCAAAAATAATTAGGTAGGTCATTCGATAAAAATTAGGTAGTTCCTAAATTTTTTTTATATATCCTTGTTCTATTAAAAAAAAAGGTAGGTCCGAGGACCCACCTTGTGACATGCTACCTACGCCCCTAATAGGAGATAAATATATAATAGATATAGTTACAACTCTAGCCCCAATACAAATATTATGTTGTCTAATATTCCCCCGTAAGCTGGTTAAGGACATTGAGCATGGATCGGAGCCCCTCAAATCTTTGTGAAGATTATGGTTTAGTGAATATATCAGCAATCTGATCATCTGTGGATATGAATTGAACTTAGAGACGCTTTGCTGCAACCTTCTCCCTAAAAAAGTTGAAGTCAATCTCAACATGTTTTGTGCGAGCATGAAATACAGGATTAGCAGACATATAGGTAGCACCAAGATTGTCACACCAAAGAACTAGGGGTGTCATGACTGGAATGCACAGTTCGTATAATAAGGTTTCAAGCCAAGTAACCTCAGCAACAGTATCAGCAAGAGTTTTGTATTCTGCCTCGGTGGATGACCGAGAGACAGTCTTATGTTTCCTTGCTGACCAGGAAACAAGGTTCTTCCCAAGATATATAGCATATCCTCCGGTGGATCGACGGTCATCCGGGCAACAATCAGCATCAATAAGCAGAGAGCATAGGATTATGCCCATCACCATCGGCATGAATGGTAGTATCTCGTGAGGGCGTGAGACGTAAGACAAAGGTGTTGGTGCCTTTAAGGTCTCGGAGAATCCGTTTAACCACTGACCAATGATTAACGGTAAGAGAATGCATGAACTGGCACACTTTTTTGACGGCATAAGAAATATCTGGCCTAGATAAGGTGACATATTGTAGAGCCCCAACTGTCTGACGATATCGAATAGGGTTATCAAAGGGAGCACTATCACCAAGAGTAAGAGAAGTGTCGGTAGTAAGAGGAGTGCTGACAGGCCTGCATGTTGAAGAATATCTGACACGTATTGTTGCTGAGATAAGTAATATCTAACACATATTGTCACCAAAATAGATTTTGATAATTGTATTGTGTATGTAATATCACGTAACATGTACAGGAGATAAATATATAATAGATATAGTTACAACTCTAGCCCTATACTAATATTATGTTGTCTAATAAAATGGAAAACATACTCTGCCATGATAGTTGAGGTCGTCATTAGTTTTTTCTTATAACTCCTTATTAGATAGACGTGATTTTGTATATATTGTGTAGATGTATGTCTTGTATAGGGTCCATTTTGTAACTTTTTTTTATCTATTTAATTCTTGGATCTCCTACCTATGTTGGCAGTGAGTTTAATCGTTCACATGGTATCTAGAGCCTAATCCTCCATTTTCACCTTCCTCTTCTGCCGCTACTAATCTCTCCCTCTCCTCCCCGTTTTTTAGTTTAATCTATTCTCCTTCCATGTCTTCATCTTGTTCTAATTCCTCTATCACCATGAATTCCATCCTTCATCTCCTCACTATCAAACTATCATCCACTAATTCTCTATTGTGGAAGAGTCAAATCTCTCTTCTTTCCTACAAGAATTTGTTTGATCATATTGATGGTTCGTCTACTACTCCCACCCCTGTAATCATGGTTGAAGACAAGATGGCTCCCAATCCTGATTATTCGGCATGAATGTCGGCCGGTCAACTAGTCATAATCCTCATTTAGGCTTCGCTGGCCTCGCTAACTGAGGAGGCCTTCTTGGAGATTGTGGGTCTTTCCACCGTAAGAGAGATTTGGCTTGCACTTGAACGTGCATACAACAACTCATCTATGGAACGTGTAGAAAATCTACGTGATCAATTACGTCATCTATCAAAGTCAAAACATTGTATCTTTATTGAATAATAGAATATTACAAAAGATCTCTATATAAAGAATAGAATGTTACATTTAAATACCCTCTACTTATTATAAATATAAATTACATAGTCTAACATTCCCTCCCAAGTTGAGGACGAGGAACGACCTACAACTTGGACTGTAAGAACTGAAATCTCTGAGAGGGTAAAGGCCTTATAAAGACATCCGCAATCTGATCACTTGTAGATATGAATTGGACATTTAGTTGACCTCTCGCTACTTGTTCACGAACAAAGTGGAAATCTACTTCAACATGTTTAGTAACACTGGATTAGGACACTGAAACGGTAGATGACCTATACCATAACGGTTACAATGACCGCACCACCGTATTCTGAGTTGAGGCCCATCGAAATTATTGATTGGGAGGGCTATTGTCACGACCTTGATTACTATTGTGACCTTGTAAGTTGCCACAAAAGTTCCCTCGGCGATTGTTTCGGTTATTTTATGGGCGAGAACCATAATGGGCCTGTGGAGTGTTTTGTGAGCCAATAGGGTTTAGTTGATACCCTAATTCAGAGGCTAATAGATGCAAACTGTTGAGTTAAGACTGAATGGTAGTGAGGTCAAGTAAGGGATTAGGTGGAGTACCTCTGGTTGTAGGAGCATATACTTGTGGCGATGTAGTAGTAGGTAAAGAAATAGATTTGTTGAGCATGTAATCATGGTTAGACAAAAGGCCATGAAGGTCATTGAAAGTGACAGGTGGTTGACGAGCCAGAAGGTTTGATTTCAAACCGTTATATTCATCTCGTAAACCTGAGATGGTAAGCATAACCACATCCTTATCCTTCATAGATTCACCAATATTGGCCGGAGCAGATTTGTATTCCGTTGCACGGCTGAGATAATTGAGATAATTGAGCGGAGTTTCGTCACCTTTCATCTCTATTTGAAGTAACTGGGTTTTTAATGTGTATTCACGAGAGTCAGTATTTGGTGCATAAGCACGCTCTAACAATAGCCACAGGTCTCTTGAAGTCGTACCTTGAATGTGTTGGAAGGATGCTTCAAAGATGGTAGAGAGGATTAACATTCAGACATATGCATTGTTGGCAACCCAACGAGGATGACTAGGGTTACTGCATTTTCTGTTGTAATCTTCGATTCAGGGCACTTGATTGTACCGTCCACATAGCCGATCAAATGGTTGGTGGTTAGGAATGGTTCGGCCATCGCCTTCCAGAACCCGTAGTTGGTAGGAGAGAGGGTGAAGGCGAATTTGTGGGTGTTGTGAGCTGTTTTCTCTGCAACAGTAAAAGCATCAATAACAGCCATGTTTGATCGATTTCTTGCTGACCTGAAAAGATAGAGAAGGTGTATATAGTTTTAGATGACCGGCTGAACTAGGGTTGGAGGCGGCAGAAGGTTCCTGGCTCTGACACCATGTAGTCACAGGGATCGCTCTTTCAGCCATGATCCACGTTCTAAACGTTTCGTTCCCAATCGTGGTATCTTATCGTTCCGATCGTTGGCCAAAACATACTTCGGTACAGAAACTCAACGATCCAACTGAATGAAAAAATCGATTGTTGGAACGTGTTATTAGCGATCGAATTGGTCCAATACATGATTGGGATCGCCAATTTTGCGTTTTTGGAACGAAGGTTTGGTACCCTGTTATCACCGTTTTGTCTAATTGGTCTCAAAATCTACCAATTTTGCTATTGATTTTTTATTTTCCTTGTATATTAAGATTCGATTGAAGCAACCAGTATGATTAAATTTATTGATTATACTCAATTTATTGACTTCAATCGGTTCACAACTTCACATTGAGTAATGAATCACTTAATTGATTTCAAACAATCAATTCATGGCCATTAGACGATTTCACATCCGCAAACTGATTAGAAATAATTAATTCATTGGGTAAAGGAATACATGGCCCAATTTTATTGTTTAGCAAACAATCTTTTTTTACTATTCCTGTTATGGTGTTAATGTTCTTATTGGTGATTTTACTTTTAGTTTTTGCAAATCTGTTATCGTTTCAAAGTTAGTGTGTTACAATCTGATTTGAAGTTTTAGTTGGTGGAATGTTACAATTTGCGTTGAAGTATTAGTGTGTTACCAACTAAGTTAATTGTTGTTTGAATTATGTTTTCAAAATGGGTACACCATATCGGATTCTACGGTACACCGTACCAGGAAGTAACGAATGTACCGAAATGAACCTACCCCCACCGTACCCGATACGTCCACCCTAGTGAACCGCATTCACGATCCTCGTTCTCGTACCGAAGCTTACCGCAAACCATGTGACTATGATCAAAACCTTGTATCTTTATTGAATAATAGAATATTCCAAAAGATCTCTGTATAAAGAATAGAATGTTACATTTAAATACCCTCTACTTATTATAAATATAGATTACATAGTCTAACAATCAAAAGGTTCATCAACTGTTTCAGATTTTGGTGGAAAATTTTAAGCAACATGTAATCAACTCGCCGCCATCGGCCACCCTGTTGATTAAACTGACAAGACTCATTGTTTCTTATGTGGTCTCGGTGCTTCGTTTGAGACTTGTTATACTGTTATTCATGCCTCCCGGGTGCCTTCTATTTTTTTCGCGATCTTCTTCCACAGACCAAAGGTCATGAGTTATTCTTACGCACTATACATAATGTTGGTGCCCAGCCTCCGGTCGTCTTTTCGGCTAGACAAAGCTATTCGGCCCATTTCCCTGTTGCGGCTCAACAATATGAGGCTCCCTCTGGATATCATGGCACCAGTTATCGTGGTTCTCGTGGAGGGCATGGGCATGGTTGTCGCCCACCACATTGCCAGTTATGTCGCAATAATTGTCATTATGCATCTTCATGCCCTCGGCTTGCCTCATTTGCTGCCTCTTCACGTCCTGATTGGTATGTTGACTCGGGTGGTACAGATCACATGGTCTCATCTCCTGGTTCAGTGCACAAAACCGAGCCTATTAATGGCGACACATCTGTTATGTTTGATAATGGCAATTTCTTACTCATTTCTTCTATTGGGAAATCCTCGATCGCTAATGGTCTTCATTTACCCGATGTGCTGGTGGTTCCCGAACTTACTAAAAATTTGTTGCCTATTAGTATCTAACTCGTGATAATGATGTGGATGTGGTATTTCCCAAATCTTCATTTTCTATTAAGGATCGCATCTAGCTCAAGGACGATGTGACAATGGTCATTATATTCTTCTGTCCTTACGACCGTCGTATACGTTTTTTGAGAAGTCTAGGTCACGAGATTCTTATGAACGTTGACAGTTGAGATTGAAGCATATATCTTTTAATACAATTACACCGTTATATAAATTGAGACATTTATCGGTTTTATCCATTTTACCAAAACCTAATACATGTTCTTCACGCCAATTAGCTAAGTCTCATCACCTGCCGTTTGCGGAAAATCCCAAATGGGTGTCATATATTTTGGATATGATTCATTGTGACCTTTGGGGTCTGTCACTGGTTTCTTCTGATGATGGATATCATTATTATGGCATAGTGGAAACCTACTATTCCAATCCAACAATGGAATATCGTATTTTATCGAAGACATGATCAATCAGTTGATAAAATAATCCCAACAAACTAATATTAAATCTGGAAGCTTTGATACCAATTGTAGTAAATAAAGAGGGTAAAATACACTAAAATGAAAAAGTTCTACTGCATCAAAAAACCCAGAAATCTGTATCATAAAAACGATATTAGTTCAAGCGGAATAGGACTAATGTATCAAACCAGAATCAACCACAAGCAATGAAAAATACTAAGCAAAATAGTAAATCAGAGAGACAGAGATTTACGTGGAAAACCCAAATCGGGAATAAACCACGCCCAGAGGAAGTCGATAATCGATCCACTAAAATATTGTAGTATTTACAGAGTTTTATCAAATAGATTACAATGAGTTATAATGATTTGGTGATAAAGGGTTGAAACCCTAGACAGTGTCGATCCAAAGGTGGAGAAAAGAACTCTCTTGGTTTTTTCTTCAAAACTCTCATAAAAATCTTGCGTTCAATTTAGGCTAAAATGGTAAAGTTTTGTCACTTTGGCAAAAGTGGCCCTTCAACAATGAAGCGAATGCACTTCAGGAATGAGTCCTTTTTAAACCTGAAACACCCATTTTAGAACTGATGTCTTTTTAGGCCCAATGCAACCAAATTAGACCTACATTGCTAGAAAGACAATATAGCCCTAGAACTAAGCATAACTTGTGAATTTTGGAAGGTATATTTCCACAGGATTACAAAATAGTTATCGATACAGTAGTTGAACTTACTTGGATCCAAGCTCTTCTTATGAACTTGGTGCCCATATAGTCTCAGCTACCATTTTAGCGTGTGGCAATTTCGGTGCAAGTTATCATTCCACCAATCCTATCTTCCATAGAGATCTCAGTGTGCATCATATCCTACAATCAATACTTTTAGCAAATTCAGAGTCGGAAAATCTAGTCACTTATAAGTTATTACCTTTTTTTTATAAATTAGTTTATAATCCTTAGTTTCTTGAAGATGTAATATTTTCTTATCATCTTTCCAAAGATCCAGGACAAGTTTAGATTGATGCTTGTCTATCAGACCGATTATGCAAGTGATATCATGATATGTACAAACATGAGTTGTTTGGACTCAAGACAAAGGATCGGGTCTTAGTGAAATAAAATCTTTCTGATCCCTGGTCCAGATCACCATGTAGCAAAGATCTCAGGGTGGTCTCAACCGTAGGGGGTTTAGACTTTAGATTTATCATACCTTGAGGTGCACTCCATCTGATGTATAGTAGAATTCCTTGATACATATGGACCAAAGATACGTGTCTCCGATGGCATCCACGAATGATACACATGGACCAACAAGATACATGTCTCTGATGGCATCTACATACGAACAGAGTAACAGGCAATAAATAAGTACCAACTCTAAAAGGGATAAACATACAAGATTATTAGGGTTCATGATCCCACTAGAGAACCATTTCTCTCAAAATCCTAATTGAAGCATGTCAACTGACAGGGAAATGTATCTTAAATACCCAGTAGGATTAAGATTTACTAGGCATGGGTTCTCATCCCTAGTCTTAGCCTAAGACATGGGAACGCCACCCTTGGCTTGGCTCACGACGTCCAGTAATTCCCTAGCTAAACGTCTGTTAATTATTGAATTAGTTTTCCAATTAATTAATTACAACCGGTGTAATATTTATATGTTTCTTTCAAGCCCCTTTATCTTTTATGGACTATCTGCACTAAATTTGTTGGAGGATGAATTATATCCTCCAGGCATACTTTCTGGAAAATCATAGATCTACCACCAACGGAGTACTTTACAAAAATCATCCGAAGGCCACATGATTTACACCCTTAGTAAAAGATTGCTAAATTTTAGAAGGGAAATTGAATATAAATCAAAACTGGACTTGTGTAGTTAATCATGGGTAATTATCTTAGGGAGTGCTCCCTGGGTTAGGTGAAGTGGCAGTGAAGAGGTTGGCCAGCCAATCTGGACAAGGGCTGAAGGAATTTAAAAATGAAGTAGTGTTGATTGGCAAGCTTCAACATCGTAATCTTGTTAGGCTTTTGGGATACAGCTTGAAGGATCATGAAATGATACTACTCTACGAATACATGCCAAATAAAAGCTTGGATCGTTACATATTTGGTTAGCATCTCTTATTTATCACTTTTTGCAATTACGAAATTTGGATTTGAAATCTAAAATTCTTGTTTTGATGGGAATTTTGGCAGATAGGACGCTTTGTATGACTCTTGACTGGGATTTACGGTTCGATATCATCATGGGAATTGCTCGAGGACTTTTGTATCTTCACCAAGATTCACGGTTGAGGATTATTCATAGAGATTTGAAAGCAAGTAATGTGTTGTTAGATGAGGATATGGATCCCAAGATTTCAGACTTTGGTTTGGCAAAGATAGTTAAAGGCCAAGAAGCAGAAGCTAATACTACAAGAGTTGTTGGAACCTAGTAAGTACATGATTTCAATATTTTACTCTCGAATCTCTGGAACTTGTGTTCTATAATATTATGATTTTGGTGTTGATGCAGTGGCTATATGTCTCCAGAATACGTGCTAGACTGGTTGTTCTCAGTAAAATCTGATGTTTTTAGCTTTGGAGTAGTTGTACTCGAGATTATAAGTGGGAAAAGAAACAATGGTTATTATCATAAACAAGAAGCCTTTAGCCTTATATTGCATGTGAGTTTTTTAAAGCCTGAATCTTGTCTTAATCATTCATATTATTTGAAAACTAATGCTGATGCATTTCAGGCTTGGGGTTTGTGGAAAGCGAATACGCCGTTAGATTTAGTGGATCCAGCATTAGCACGATCATACAATTCCATTGAAGTGTTGAGATGTATGACTGTTGGGCTATTGTGCGTACAAGATGACCCTGTAGATCGACCAACAATGGTGAATGTGGTTCTGATGTTGGGTATGGATATTGAGAGCCTCCCGGATCCTAAAGAACCGGCTTTTGTTGTGTCGAGAAGAAGGATTAGAAGGTTGCCACTACTGTCTTCAGGTAAATCAGAGATCAATCAATTGACTATCACTCAGGAAGAAGGGCGTTAGCAAAGTGAGGTCTTGTTTATTATAAGTAGGTTTATGAATCTTCAATATACCGTTTGGACCATATTGGTCTTGCAATAGTCAAATTAATTCTTATTATTATACAATCTAATAAACATGGGTCATCGGATTGAACCTTGTTCATCCAATCCAACATATATCTTGGATAAACAAGAATATTATTAAGAGAAATATGTAACTCCTAAAAACAAAACAATTGATGGATTGTGGACATGACGGATGCCATAAGTGCGTATAATAGGCGAACTTAATTCTCATTTGTTATGCTCTACTTTGGTGATAAACTTTACAGACCAGCAGACCCCCTTTGGGAGTTTTTTTGCAAATATAGGGCTGTCTTGGATTTGGTTTGTAAAACTAGGGCCCTTTCTGATTCATTTGTAAAAATAGGGTCGTGACCCCACAATACAAACGTATACTTACATTAAGGCCCCTATAAGTTTTATTTTTTACCTTTAAGTTTTAAGATATGTAAATATAATCTCCTTTTACTTAAAATAATATGTAAATACAATCTCTTTTTAATTACAACTAGGTGGGGACCCCCGCGTTGTGGGGGTCGGATGCGACAATTTTTTCCATTACTATTAACCACCAAGATGTGTATCTTCAAAAATAGAAGACACCTTAAAAACTGCATGACCAACCTCAACAATTACGATCAACAAAAAGGGAAATATGTGTAATCAAAGTATTACGAATACACATGGAAAAAAGATGTCCCACAAAGAAAAAACTAATGTAGAAAGATACAAACGGACACAATTGCAGACAATGAAAGGAAGAACAATTGCATGTAATGCCTTATGCAAGTTTGCAAATACATTGCTCTTCTTCCTCTAGGGAAAAACACTCATATAAATCATACACTAAAATGTGACATTACAATTAAATGATAAACTAAAAGACATCAATTACATAATCAGTATTCCATATCTGACATTAACCAAAAATTCCAAATAGACTCTCAGATGCAGCATGAACATTACCTGCAGTGGCTGTCAGTGCTTGACGATTCTCACGTGTGTCAAAGAATCCCATTTCTTGTAGCTGTGCCAGCTGTGTAGCATACAAATGTTCTGGAGGCACAGTGTTTTTTATTTTATTAATAAAAAACGAAAAATATATGAGTTTGTTTATTTGTGAGATATGAATGATGATTTTGACAGATTAAATAATAAGTAAATAAGTTAGTTACCATTTGAATTGTTTGGCATTGTGAAGCCACCGGTTCCAAGCCCCCAAAAGATGTTAATAAGCATATATCCAATCCCATGTTGTCGGGCCCACCTGGTACACCAAAAAACAAAATTATTATAAATATAATAATATTTATTAAGATTTAGTTTGCTACACCGGTTTACAAACAGAAAATCGATATGAAACCATGAATATCAATTACATGGTGAAGTGAAAATCAACGTTTGAGTTGACCTATTAGAAAAAAAGGATAAACATTTTACTGAATGGGTGGTTGCGTACCAGACAAAAGAGATTGATGCAGTGTGATTATTTACTATAAATTGTAACAACTAACAAAAGTATCTTAATGGATGCCTAGACCGGTGATGGTAATTAGCAAAAAAGTAACAATCTAAAAATTGTAAATTCAACAAATACAAAAAACTCTTTACAAACCCAAACATAAATCTTTTGCTATTGTTCATTTGTTCTTGTTTTTTGTTTTAACAAACCATTTTTTTGTCCCCTGCTTCAATCACCTTCAATTACCTACGGGTGTGGGGATAAAATGACCGGCAAACCGGCACTATTCCTAAGGATGGAGAAAACAAATACATATAAAAATAAGCACATAGATAAATATAAATTGTTTAAATGCTTCAATATAAACTGTATAATTTGTAGATTAGAAACGTGGCATGAATAAGCCTAAGGCTAGGCTTAAGTGCAACTCTCTTAGCACTTGTGTGAGCCATTGATGTAGCAACTGTTGTTGCCCAAATTGTGCCTACATATACATTTTTATCAACACTCCATTATATTTTTTCGGGTTGATTATTCAAAAAATCAAATCTATCATTATATTGAATAAAAGTTAAAGTTTATAAATTAAACTAACCTAAATTAAAGTAAGCTCATATTCGACCAAACTAACCTAAAAGCCCCAAATGATTGAAGTAGTAGGCTAGTAAGCCTATAATAACAGGAACATGCAAACACATCAAAATTAATGGTTTTGTAACATATATTGCTATATGCTCCTTATTTTGGAGAATCATAATAATGTTTGTCCTTCTTCCATGTGCAAATGACTATATTACCCTTTATTTAACTTTTTGATATTATTTTTATTATTTATCATGTAGTTCTATTATTATTGAAATCAGGTAATTAAATAAGAAATATTAAAAAAGGGGTAATATCGTTATTTCACTTAGAAGACAAAAAAAAAAGAACTTACAGAAACTTAAAATGAGGACCATAATTTCAAAAGACAAACTTTTTGGCACCAAAAATGTAATGAAAATTTTTTTAGGACCAGAAATGAAAAAAAAACTGGAACGAAAAGTGCAAAAAAAAATAAAGACCAAAATTGCAAAAGAAAACCTTTAGAGATGAATTTTGAAAAAAAAAATAATAATAAAAATAAAAAAAATCAGTTATATTAGTAGTTTTTTCGTTTTTTTTTTGTAAAGGAATCATTTAGCAACTGATTTTGATCAGCATCTGCAGCAACTGATTTTGTAATTCACGTAACGACAGTATATAAAAGGGTACGTTATCGACTTTAATGACAGATCCAACGATAAAAGTTATGGTTGCCCAGGTTAACAAAATAGATATTTATAATTAATTTACATTTATCGTTTTAGATGTTCAAGATCATTTATACTTCTTCTAAGACTTGATGTTATATTTACTATTTTACCAAAAGAAGGGTTAAATTCATTTATTTAAAGATTGGGAGATTACTTAACCGGTGGCTTCACAACTATGTTTGGAGTTTGGTTCATAAAATAATTTTGGAATAAACTAAATCTGTCAAAGGAATTAGAATCTAAGGAGGCATAATTTGTCAAGTAATTGGTTCTTTCAAGAAATGGAATATTGTATTCAATAGTTGAATATATATATATATATATATATATATATATATATATATATATATATATATATATATATATATATATATATTCTAATCTGTGTTCAATCTTTTTTGTTTATTGTTCGTATAAATACAATATATATATTTTTTCCCCTACCACACGATTCAAAACATGATCAGATCCACTAAAAATATAATATAAAACCATAAATTACAACATTTATATTCTGCAACAAAGTGACAGAGAGTATATATATATATTTTTTTGTTAAAACCAAAATCACCAGTATCATTCTAGATACATAGATAAAGTAAGATGGTAATCTGCAAAAAAATAAATAAAGTAGTAAGGAGTAACCATTCAATTATGTTGGCACTTATATAAGCAACTTTTCATATTTGGATTTCATTTTCACCCACTCCTCATTACAGTTCATCACATCCAATAAGAGGCTTCAACCAATTCTGATCGGATAAAATAAAACATCCAATACAAATCTCTTCTTTATGATCACTATTAGCATTTAAATGTACCTAAGAAACCAAAGGAAACCAAACTACCTTCTTCATGGTAAGTATTAGCATCCGTTGAGTGAATCCCTGATCAAATCCTGCAGAAAAGTTAGCCACATCAGGTCACCTTTCAATTCGCAAAGTCGAAAAAAAATCATATCAAAAATGAAAACCAACCTAATTATCCCAGAAAAGAAAACGAATCACATTAAGGTGTTTGAAATGATCCCTAAAACTATTTGGTTTCGAAACCTGAATCAAGCAATGGTTGATGCATTCAGTGATAGTTCCCTCTGCAGACAGCTTTGAATAATCCGAGACTTTCTGTCAAGGTCAATTTGGGAATTTAGTTTAAATGACGCAAATTGGAAAACCTGCATCAAAGGTAGTTAGTTACCTGTGCCTTTTGCAGGCCATCCACAGCTTCAATTGTCATTCTCTTATCCAAACAAATGATTTCCCCAGACTCCAAACATTTGTTGTAATAGTATAATGCATCATCTGCCTATCCTAAAAGTAAACGACAGCTGGAAATAGGATATAAAAAGAAAATTAGGTTACGATTTTTCCTATGTAATAAGTAACTGAGAGATAGAAATGTTACTTTGCTAATCCTCATTCTGTCTCTTCTAGATAAGTCTTGACCCATCTTTGTCTGTAGAAACGCAAAAAGAAATCGAGATAGCAAAAGATTATCGTAACTGAATGGTCCCCTCATGATTATCGTACATAGCAAATAGGATTTGATGAGAAAAAACAGAAGCAACCTTCCTGAATGGTCCCCTCATTCCGATACCCTGATCGAGAGGATTGAGAAAAAACAGAAGCAACCTTCCTGAAAGTGTCGATTTTCCAGAATAGACATGACAAACCTGCAAATGTCAGATAGGACTTAGAAGTTACGAAGAAGCTGGCAAAAGGATGAATATATGCCGACACAAATTTGATTACATCTCCACTTGCAAACCTGGTTTGTGTATATAGGCATGGTGAAACGATTGCAAGAAAGGAGATAATTTTGGGGAAACAAAATACCTAATTAGGACCCTTAAAAATTGATCCGTCGACTTTGTCGATCAAAACCCTAAGCTTCATAAAGAGGAGAATTTGTGGAATAAAGCATCCGAAAATAAACCCTTCATGAACAGATAAAAGCCAATCGAAGTGACATGGTGGCGGTGTTGCCGTTCGATTTATGAAGATTAAGGCAAAATGGGTTCTAGAACCACAACCAAAGATGGAGACACCACTTCCTTCTCTAAGTTGAATATGTGAAGTAAAGAGGCGGTGGAGTCGGGAAGGATAGAAACGCCGACGGTATCGTTGCTGCATCTCTATCCTTCTCTGTTATTGAAACGGAAGCGAAACACATCCGAATATTAGTGGATGAGAAAGCGGGTAGGGGGAATGAAGCAGAAAAATCAGAAGAATTGAGAACCTCAACGGAAGATATTGGATAAGGACGCGGTGGGAAGGATCGGAAGCGTATAAACCCAAACGATGATCGACACGTG